TGGGGTCACCCTGTGGCTGCTACACCTGTGGGACAAGGCACCAGCCCTGGAAATCCTGAACCTGATCCCTGCACACCTCCCACCTGCAGGAGATGCTCCCTGGAGAGCTGTCTGAGCCCCTGCAAAGGTAAACACAACTGACACAAAGCACAGCTCTTCCCTCAGGTGCTGACAGAGGCTTCTAAAGTGAAAATTCACACGTCAGTCTGAATTTTGTGGCTCTTCCAAAGCATCAGCCCTCACCAAACAGCTCCTGAGGGTCCAGCAGCCCTGTTTCAGGACATGTGGCCGTCTGTCCATGACTCTCAGCCATTCTGGAGCACCCAAGCTGCAGAGCCCACACCAGCACCTTTCTACTCCCCAGGGACCAAGAGACTCACACTGCAGGTCTGGCTGATTGATGAGGGTACCACAGGCAGAAACTCAACCAATGGAGATATACAGATACAGAAATTATGTTTTCCTGTTTGGGATAACACTGGATTATTAAGTCTAGGGCTCAAGAGCCAGGAGAACAGCAGAACAATCCAAATCTTGATAAGATGTGCTGAGCAGTTCTGTATCTAGCAAAGGATGGATGATGAGCTTGATGAGCCTCTGAACACCCTGCTGTGACCTGGAAATGAGAGTGGTTCCCCTTCCCCCTCAGCCCTACCCACCTGCACCACCCTGACAAGGGTTTCAGGGTATTTCTGGAACACATCCTGGAAGGCACTGGCTGGGAGCCTCAGAATTGTGGATGGAGAGGCTGCTCGGGCCGAGACGGTTTTATAGGGAGCAGGGTGACCCTAAGAGAAAGTTCCAGAAACAGGGGGTTAATCCATCAATGATCCAATCCAATCCAATTCTCCCAAATTCCTGCTTTATTGCTGTGTCTGACAGACACTTCTGACCACAAAGAGCCTTGAGCAGGTGCTCCAGGACCACGGGGTGCAATGAGGGTGAATTCACACCTGCACCAGAGACAGGGCAGGGAAATGAGAGCTCCAGGGATCAGGGTGAGAAAAGTGCCAGGATCTGTGACACAGCTGAATTACACAGGCAGCCCCTGAAATCCCAGCTAGTCAAGGCTGCAGAGAAAAGAGGGTTTGTTGATTTTATTATCTGTGCTGACAACCAAGTTATTTGCTGCATAAACAACCCCAGATTCACACAACCAGTGAAAAACACAACAAAATTGTACAGCAATTACAGACATAATGGAGGAAGACAAAGGCAGGCAGATTTCTTGTGTTTCAAGATGTATATATACATTTTTTCATATATATATACACTTGAAATATTCCATGTGACAAAGCCAAACAGCTTCTCTTTACTGGAGACAAAGTGGGTCTAGACCATCCTGCTCAAAGAACAGATGGGAACTAACAAACAAATGAAAAGTGGGTAGAACACAGAGATTTTTTTCACAGTGGAAAGCAAGCCTCTGGGTTTGGATCTTCCCTCTTAAATGAGAATAGATTTTAACAAAAACCTATTGCCAAAAATTTGGGTAAAAAGACAGACAGTACCCCTTTCACCCACTCAATAAATGCTGGAAACAACATCTCTAATTCATAAATTAATTTACCAATCCATCAAATATTGATTTACACAGTATTGATAAGATAAAATGAGCCTTTGTGCAGCACAGAGCAGGAGCAGGGGAAGAAATGAAGTTTCTATTTTAACAGCACCTCACAGCTCCAGCAGCTTTTCCCCTCCAGAGCAACACAAGGCACCTTTTCCCCAACACTGACACCCAAATGTTAAATGCTGATTACAAACCAAACTGCCTGCAAGACTTGCAGAGCATCACACAACTCAACACAAGCACTCTGAAGGAATTCCTGCCTAAAGAGCCCAGCAGAACCAAACAAGAGACTTTCTCTAATCACTCTGGAAAATAAAGCTGCAGCTCTGTCTGCCTGCTGGTCTGGAAGGCTCTGTGAAGCAGATTCTAAAATTAAATTAAATTAATTGGAACCAATTTCTTAATTACACCAACTTCAGCTGACCTTTTTATAAAATCTGGGGATGATAATAATAGCCTTGATTTTCAAGTTCCTGAGGGATCTGAAATTTTAAACATCTCTTTGACCTACAGTGCAAAACTCCCAGTGTCCTCAGTTTTCCCAAGTTTCTTTTAATTAAGTAAAGAAATTAACAAATAACATTTCTGTGCTTGGGCTGCAATCAAAAATAAATGCAGCAATTCTCTTTTACAGGCCAGTTTGAGGTCTGGCTTTATATGAAGAATTAATTTGGACTACCCATACTTACATGTAAAAGAAAATGTATACAGTCTGCTTTTAAGCACTGCATTTGTCACCAACTGTATTTTCTACCAATCTCTACAGCAAAAATATAGTAGAAAACCAAGTAAATGAAAATTTTAGTTGCTGGACAATGATAAGTTTCAAGTTTAATAGTGTTTCATGAGTTATTCCAAGGAGAAAACGGAGCCCTGGGTATCCCAGAACTCTGGTCCCCATTCTACCCAGTAAAGTATTTGGGTTTTTTCTGGAAGTGTTCAGTGCTGACAAGCTCAGAAAAACAGCTTTGGGATAATAACAGATAACAATGCAGAAGCCTTTTTCTCCAAAGAACAGCCCATTCCTCTGAGTTTTCAGCATATAATTTTGCCTCTCTGAAATCCCTGCATGAGAGCAGCTCTTCTGAAAGGGCCAACACCATGGCTAATGGGGCTGGGACATGCAAGAGCTGTCAGGGGAGTGTGAGGAGCAAATCTTCCATAATTGTCACTTCTCTCAGCTCTAATGTTATCAGCAGCACAGGGAGAATACCACGTTCAAATTATACTATTTTGCAATCACACACTGAGATGACAAGAACAGTTAAGTTATAATCAGTTATGAAACAGGGTTTTTTTCAACAGAGAACTTTTTGTTCTCAGGGCAGGTAATTATTTACTTCTGTCTCGTTCCAAGAGCTGAGGCATCACCTCCAAGCAGCAGCTGAACACAGGTGACAGCTTATGGCCAAATCCAACCAAGTTTGGTCAAAAAATCTGCTGCAAGAGATTTGGATGTTTCACATTCTCCCACCTGCAGTGGTAGCTCCTTTTTGGACCCAGAAATCTGAGATGTTCTCTCCATTTCCATGGCTGGATTTTGTCTTCCTTCACTCCTTCCTGACATCCTCTGCATCAACACTGCTGCACCCAAAGCTCTTGCAGCCATCAATCACTTCTTTATAACCTCATCCATCTTGTCAGCCCTGCAGGCTCACCTTTATCCAAGTGTTTTTCCAGCTTCTTTTAATCCTGACTTTCATTTTTTCCCCCCTCAATCACTGCCATTTGATCAATATCCCTCACAGCCTCTTCTTTCTCCAACTTTCTTATTCCAGCTATGCCAGCAGGCCCCTGTTTTCCTAAGAGCATCTCCACATGGAGGACAAGAGCAGAGTGAACCCCAAATCAGCACCACATCTCTGCTGGAGTTCACTCTGGATGAACATTGACTGTTCTGGGAAAAGCTCTGGCTCACACACAGGCTCTCAGCAAGGGTTGCTGAAAACAGAGACATCAACAAGGCTCAGCTCAGACATTCCTTTGGTATTTGAGGCAGTATCAAGTCAAAGGCATTAACTGCACCTCAGGAATGTTCCAGAATACCAGGAAAGGGGCTGCAGCTACTTGGATTCCAGATTCTCCTCAGAGTTTGGAGAAAGCAGCATCAATCTCTTCTCAGAATAAGGGGAGGCTCATGTCACAGCTGCTAACTTTGTACTCAGCAGAACTGAAGGGACTTTGCAGTTTAAAAGCTGAAAGATTCAATTAGAAAAGTTCCTCTGGTGTGATCTTTCTTTTAGGTCCACCAGCCAGATCCTGCCACTTCTTGCAGCACCCTCAACCTTCTTACACAACTCTCAACTAAGTGAGGGACCAGCCTGATATCAGGTGCTGCAAAATCAGTCAAAAAAATCACAAACCCAGCTCAGACAACTGAAATCCTCTCTGAATGCCCCCTTTCTTCACAGCACAGCCATGTGCTTGGTGGTGCACTGAAATCTAATTCAGGCTCTGGGATCTGCAGGATGTTCTAAGACTCACTCACTGTTTTGGGATGACACTGAGGGGTCTCCTCTATTTTGATCCAGTGCTACTTCCTCTCTCCTTGCCTATTTTCATGCTACTCCTCTACCTAAAGTCTGCAAGGAACATAAGGAAGAGGAAAAACAGCAATGAAACAAGCAGCTCACGAAGCTGGGAAGTGAGGAACAAAAGAGTTGTAAAAATAAATGAGAACAAGTTTAGCAAAAGATGTTTCAAGTTTTTTTCATTACAGATTCTTCTGCAGACTGCTAACTCTGTTCAGCACACTTTCAATCATTTCTATTTTTTTTTTACTTACCACTGGTATAAATAATGAGAAAGAGAAAAAAACCAACAGAATGAGAATTAAAAATGAAAAAAACCCAACAGGATAAAAAATGAATGGCAACCACTTTTTTAGAAAACAAAGCCATAAAGCACTGCTACACAAGGGGTTTTTTTCTTGTTTTCATGTTAAACAAGCAAGAACATGACTGGTATTCATGTTCCTTTATGATGGCCCTGTTATTTAGAATATTGTCATGAAGAAAATTTAGTGGTAGAAGTAACTAATATGGATTTACAAAGATATTATTAATTTGACAGCGAGAACTAGACTTGTTACAGTCCAAATTATTCCCTTTCTACAGAGAAAACTGTGACCAAGCTTAAAAAACGTTACCACTGCTGACAGGTTTTATGGGAACTACAGATATACATAATATAGATGTACAGATAATGTGGATAATGTGTGACTGCTTTTGGAAATGACAAAGAACACTTCAGAGAATTCTTTAACTCAGAGAATTCACAGAATCACTGGGTTGGNTTCTCCATCCTTTAAAGCTGCTGTCCTGCAAGAACCACACCTCTGCAGCAAGCAGCTACCACAGAAAATCACAAAAAGACTCAAGATTGATGGAAAAATCTGGTTTAAAACTTACATGGTTATCAAGTACTTACTGGACTGTCTCACTCTTCTGTACACCACAAACACAACAACTGCTATAAGCAACAGTGCAACTGCAGCTCCAATTGCAATTCCAGTCAGCTGGGAGGGAAATTTAAAGAGAAAGAAGTTAATGATTTTCAACTTCAGAAGTTACTACATACTTTTTGAAGGGCTGAAGAACACTCAGCTCAGTGAGATGCCTAAAAGCCAAGCATGTTCATAAATACTGAATTTTTAATTCAAACATCTCATATGCAAGAAGTTTAAACTGCACCCATGACAAGTCCTATGATCAGATGGAAAATATGCAGCTCCACTTTACCATGGTGGTCTGGATCCTGTCCTCCACAAACTGCAGGATGGGGGTCCCAGCTCCTGTCACCACAGCCTGGCAAGACAAAGGAAGGTGAAATTAGTTTCCCACAGCTGGAAAAAAGTCCCTATGAAACATCTCAACCAACTTGATTGTGTTTTGCTCTGACTTTTAATCCACTTTGCAAACAGAAACATTCAGTGCAAAGGGATCAGTAGGGGAGTTTTGTGCTGCTGTCAGCTCAGTGCATTCCTAAACAGCCCTAAACCAGGGTCAAACAGAGATGAACACTTTATTTAATCATTCTGTGTTATTCAGAACAACAAGGATGAGAATGGAATGCAAAGGACTTTATGAGACTGAAAAGAACAAGTCACAAACCAGCATATAAAAGTCACATAAAAAGCAGATGAAGCACATGAGAGCTCAGCTGTGTTGTCCTGGGCCCTGTGCCCATCATTGTCACTCAGGAATAAAACCTGGCACCTAAAACTGTCTCACAAATGCCAACCCAAAAATTAAGAGAAAGGAAGGAAAGGTAAAACAATTCTTAGGAACAAGTGAAAACAACCTGAGTACAAGGACAAATACACCCCCCTCTAAGTCTTGAACCTTAAAAGCACTTGAATGAAGCACTACACACAGCTCAGGTCCCATTCCTGCCCCTGGTTCCAGACCTGGATCACAGCTGAACTCAGCTGTGCCACCAAGAGAAAAATGAAGAGCACACCAAGTCACCAAACTGGTCTCTGTAATGGAATTAATTCCAGTTTTACACAAAGGAAACTCCTGCCAGACCAGTCATCCTCACACAGATCCCTGTGCTCACTTTGCCTTCTCAGGTCACTTCAGCACTTTAGTGTTTATCTTCCCAATATGAGTCAAACTAACTCTGTCACTATTGTTATCAGACCATTACTCATGGGATTGCAGTGAAAAGTCACAAGATTTTGAAAAAAATAAAAAGCTGAAGATGTGTCAGCAACAGGTAGAACACCTGGTGACACAGAGCTCCTGGTGAAGTCTGCTCTGGTCACTTAATGCATTTATTTCCCCTTGACAGTGTCAGGGACACTGGGACAGGGACAGTTCTGCTGCTCCCCAGGCCTGTATGATCTCAAATAACACCAAAAATAGTGATTGCCAACTGACACTCACATTGCTGCTGCAAGGGGAGAAACAAATCCACGGGGAAAAGAATAAAACACAAACATGCCCAGGCTGGGCTTCAGTGCAGAAAAGAAGCAGGGAAAGATGAAATTCAGAGCTCCAAGAACCCCTGAGAGGTTCTTGCAAAGTTTTCACGAGTGGCAGTGTGATATTGCCCTGCTCAGACCAGGGGGATCTTTCCCAGCCTGGACAATCCTTGTGGACAAGCAGAGGAAGCAAAGCAGCCAGGCTGAGCTGAGCAGGCACCTGAGCTGTGTCACTGAGGGCAGTGACAGCTCCTGGGGCAGCAATGAGGTCACAGCCGAGTCACCAGGGCAGCTCCTCTCTGAGGAGGGCTGTGCCCAGCACCCCAACCCAGGAAACCCTCAAAATTTCCTCTCATTGGAGGCAACACCTGTGGGACCACCCTGCAGGGCCTCCCTGCATGTGAACATGAGCCCAGAGCATGGACTGGCACAAAGAGCTTTGCTGCTGCTTTGTACCTCAGATCTGACCCTTCCAAGGCTGGTTTGCATTTCACAATGGATCTGTCAGGCCCCTTCTCCTCCTCCCTCACAAACCAGACTTGCTTGTGCTGCTGTGCAGACCCCTGCAGTGATCAGCAGGGTTCCTGAATGGCTCAGAAAAGCCCCTGGGCAGAGGCTGGGCTGTGTGATGGAGGAGAGCTCAGGCAGGCCAGATGCAGGGCAGTGTGCTCACAGTGATGTTTAACAGAGACAAGCCGTGGTTCAGAAGGAAGTGCAGGCTGGCTGTGTGATGGGAGGTGCTGGGGGATCCTCCTTGGGAGGGTCCTGGTGCTTCCCCATCATTTTCCATCACTCATCACCTGCCTGCAGATTCCTTCATCATTCCCAGCTGAGCACAGAAAGACAAGGGGGCCATTCCCCCTTGTCCTGTCCCTCTGCTCCCTGATGTCCAGGTTTCCTGAGGGACCTGAGGCTGAGCAGCAACCAGCTCAAACATGCAGCAGCCCCACAAGTGCAGCTCACACCCATCCAGGGTCCAGCACCCAGCACTGCCGAGTCCAGCCACTCCTCACTGCAGTCCAAGGCAAACACTGACACATTCCCCAAGCAGGCAGCAGTGGGAAAGGCTTATCAACCCTGAAAACAAGGACTGAAAATTGGGATTAGCCCAAACACAAGGCTTCCTCACAGCTCAGAGGCACCCTTGCCTTGTTTTGACTACAGAACCTGGATTTTCACAAAACATTGTTAGCTGTGTACAAGTACATTGTGTGTGTTTTTCAGTTTGAGAACTATTTCCTCTCATGGGGTTTGTTTTTCACAACTAGGGAAAGCATCATGTGCCTTTTTGGTGTGTGAGTTTCACATGTGTGATTAAAAACAAATGTGAGAAGTGCAGTCTGCCAGAATTCTGCAACTTCTCCTTCCTCGGGATAAAAATGTATTTAAATGAAGTATTGTATACTAATGTATACAATACTATATACAATACTTTATTGTATATATAAATGAAGAAATATATATTAATGAAGTCTTTAAATCATAGCATTATTAAAACAGTTTAGAATATGAAGCAGAGCATGAATGGTCTGCAAGAAATAAAACACACACACACAATAAAATGGGACCAATCCTCAAAGTTTGAAAGGATAAAACTCTCAGCAGGAAAGGCTCTTTCAAAGTAAAAACATCTAAAGTCCTGGTCCCAATGCTATCAATTAGGTACAGCTGCATTCAGCTTCTGGAAACACTCACAGGGAAATAAATAAGTCCAAAAATAAGAGCAAAGCATATTGTACCTGAAGGCTGGTGTTATTGTCCCCTTCATCCATGTCTGGAGGAGCGGCAGGAGCAAAGACAAAAGCAAAGATAAGATTGAGTTAAGAGATGATCACAGCTTCCCATGCAAACTCTCGAACAATACAAGGGGAACAATAACTTTTTAACTTTATCCTCCCTGTGTGCTGAGCANCTGCAAATTTACTAATGAAAGACTCAATCCCCTCATCCATCAATAAAGACATTGAACAGAGCTGGCCCCAGCACAGAGCCCTGGGGACAGCACTGGTGACTGGCTGCCAGCTGGATGCAGCACCATTCCCCAGCACTCCCTGGGCTGGCCATGCAGCTCCTCACACACAGCAATGGCACCTCTTGATGAACAGCAGCACCCAAGCATGCAGAAACATGGCACAAAAGGTAAACGTGAACTGTCACAGACATCTTTTGATGAAAAATCCTTTCCTTAGGATTTTTCCTCCTGAGAAGCTGGGAGGCCTCAGGAACAAAATGTAAACATTGATTATCTGCTGCTGTGGAATGCAACAGGTGCATCTGGGATTGGTCTCATGTGGTTGTTTCTAATTAATGGCCAATCACAGTCAGCTGGCTCAGACTCTCTGTCCAAGACAGAGCCTTTGTTATCATTCCTTCTTTTCTATTCTTAGCCAGCCTTCTGATGAGAACCTTTTCTTCTATTCTTTTAGTGTAGTTTTAATGTAATATATATCATAAAATAATAAACCAAGCCTTCTGAAACATGGAGTCAGATCCTCACCTCTTCCCTCATCCAAGAACCCCTGTGAACAGGGTCACAGTGAACAACTTAGTGACTGGATTTATCTTCACCCTCTGAAATCCCATCCTACCAAAATCCTTCAGGAAAACACCTTCAGGGTTTGGGTATTATCAAAGATGTTGAATTCAACACTTTCCATTTAGGCATTCCTAAAGTGATTTCAGCAAAACTATCAGTTTAATTCCAAGTGAAACAAAATCCACCAATTTTGCCCTGAGCAGGATCAGCACTCAGCTCATCCTGGCCCCTGCCAAAGAGCACAGCCCTCAGCTGGCCACCAGCACCACTGATGTTACAAAAACAAAATAAATCCATCAACTGGTTTCACAGTATAATTACAGTACTAACAACTGTCAGATTTATTTTCATTAGACTAAATAAAACTAAATTCATTAAGCAACTCATCAAACATGCAAAAGCCTGGACTGCTGGGCCCCAACCTGGTCCTGCTCCTGCCTGAGAGGAACAGCAGATTTGTCTTTCCAAACAAGCTGTGGGTCTGCTGGTAGATAAATAGCACTGGGAGATAAAAGAAACATTGGGAAGGATTCCACTGATTGATAAATGGAAAAAGATATTGGCTTTTACAAATAAACTTTAGGTTTGCTGGTAAATGAAATTAGACATTGAGAGATGAAAGAAACAATGGGGAAGAAAAAACCCCTAAATTCTGTAATAATTAAAAATGAAAAGGGAGGGTTATACATTAGAGGGGAATCTTTGATATCAGGTGTTTTGGGAATTCTGAACCTCTCAAGTACCTCAGCCAATGGGGAAAACCCCCTGAATTCCATACGAATTAAAAATGAAAAGGGAGGGTTATACATTAGAGGGGAATCTCTGGTATCAGATGCTCTGCAAAGTCTGAACCTCTCAAGTACCTGAGCCAATGGGGAAAGAAAGAAAGAGCCAAGGGCTGGGAAATTGGGATAAAAAAGAGGCTGCGACCTCCGAAAACTGGAGAGATCCCAGGGGAATGTCCCACGGCCTCTCCCTTTATTGGAATAAAGTAAAAGGACTCCTCTGTCTCCTTTTTGAACTTAAACCTCTGGTGTTTGTGGATTCATTTTCCTGACATGCCTGAGCTGTGATTTGAGCAAATCTAACTGTAATCTCAGTTTTCCAGGCACAAAGGGATCACTCAGATCCTCCTGCAAACCAGAAGCAGCCAGTCAGGCACACATTTCACGAGCACCCTCCACACCACCAAGCTCAGCTTACACCTGTGAAGGCCTGGGAGGAGGAGAATTATCCAAAAACCATTTTACATCCTGATTCTTCCCTAGGAATGGCCACTGCCCAGGCAGGCTGAGTGGGACAGCAGGGATGTCCCTGGCAGACTCACCGTGATGACATCCAGGATGCTCAGCAGGCTGTGCACGCTGTCCCCTGCCAGCACCTCCTTCACCACCACGTCTGCTCCATCCTGCAAGCACACACACAGCATTACTGCAGCCCCACAGCTGCATTTGGGCAAACCAGCAGCATTTCAGAAAGCTCAGGTGTTTCTTTTATCTCTGCTCTGATGGAAATGTGATAATTCCAAACGTGGAGTTTTAAATCCGCTTTCTAAAAGTGATAAATTAAAAGAAACTATGAGCTTTTTTCCAGGGATGTTGTAATCTGCTTGTCTTTGCTATGTAACACCAAGAAAACACAGAGGCACAATGAGCTCCCTTTACTGAGGAGTTACCTGTCAAGAGGTTGTAAAAAACAGGAGAAGCAAAATGTAAAAATAGACAGAAATCAGCAAATTTGATATAAACTCCAAACACAAGCACACTAAACTTTCAGGCACTGGAAAACTGCTCGTATCCAAAAGTTAAACTCAAAGCTCAGTCAGGAAGAAGGTAAAAATTAAAAATTTAACTTGGCAGAAGGGATGACATGGACAGGTGCTCAACATTTTGAGACTCACATGGAAAACAAACCATCATCTTTTTTCCCATCTACCCAAAAGTGAATCTGACTCTTCCACCTCCCAGACAAACCCACTGACTCCTGCTGGACCATTCTGAGGTGAGCTTGGTCTCTCCTGCTCTCTGTGCCCAAATCCTTTCTGTAATGACCTTTAGAAGGTGAATGTTTCCAAGCCCATCTCGCACCCTGTCTTCCCTCAGTAACTTCTGCATCTCCTGTGTGAGGAGAATTCCAGCTGCCTCATCAGCTTTGTGTTCTGCTCTCTCATCTGAGACACAAGGGACTGCTGCAAACCTTGATCTTTACAAATACCACAGCCCCAAAGAGCTGGGATTAATCCCTCCTAAAGCACTGTGATTCACATGTCTAAGTTTAATCAATGCTTAATGATTCATGCCAGCCTATCTGCTGTGCCAACAGATTTCTCTCAGGAAGTGCAGAGCAGTGGGTTCTTGTTGGAACTCTGGATGCTGAGAATTTCAGACTTTCTGTGCTGACAGGCACTGACCCCCAGGAGAATACTGCAATTGGTCTAAAGCCATGGAAAAGGCTTTCAAAACTGAATGACAGAACTGGGATTATGAGTGTGGAGTTTGACAGAAGTGTGTAATAGCAACGTGGTGGAAAACTTAGAGTCTAAGGTTTTAGAATATAGTAATATAAGAATATAATATAGTAATATTTTGGAAGTGGCAAAGAACACTTCAGAGAATCCTTTAACTCACAGAATTCAGAGAATCACTGAGTTGGAAGAGACTTTCAAGATCATTGAGTCCAACCCAGCCCCAACCCCTCAGAATATAGTAATATATGTAAGGCAAGATGGAGGTTTTGGCTGGTTCTTCTTCTTCACCTTCTTCTTCATGGGTTTGGGTGGTTTTGTGTAATTGGATAAAAAGTCCCCATTGCAAGGTAGGGTGGTTGGTTATTGAGTTAAAAATAAAAATAATTTAGGTGTCATTTCTTAATTGGACAGTTTATCTTTAAAAGACCTTGTAGAGAGAGAGCTACATCTCAATTTTTACCTTGTTAGAGTAAATTACTGCAGAACTCACAGCTTGTGAGACTGCAACACAGCTAAGAACTAACAAACATCTGAGTCTGAACAGGTTCTTACACTTTCTTGGATGCAGACTTCCAGCTTTCCATCCTGCACCACGTAGATGCTGTCGTCCAGCTGCCCGGGACGGAAGATGTACTCGCCCTCATGCAGCTGCACAAAGAACATGTGCTTGCACAGCTCCAGGAACAGGGGCTTCTCAAAGTGCCCAAGGACCCTGCAGCACAGAAAATGCAGAGGGAAAACCTGAAATCACCACAGCCTTTGGAAAATCCTTCCTAAAATAGCAAAGCTCCAGCCACGAGGAGCAGGGGAATCTCATGGGAGCAGCTGCAGGGAAGGAGCCCAAAAGAGCTGCCCAAAATAAGGTGGAGGAGCAGCAGGAAACAGAGCTGGAAATGCTGGGGCTCCTTTGGAGGAGCCCTGCAAGGAATGCAGGCTCAGAAGGAAGGACAGCCAAACTTCCTCCAGCAAAAACTGATGGGTTTACTATTCAGTTCTGCAGCTGTTTCATTGTGGAGGAGGTGGATGCTCCCTGAATCTTGCATGGCAGGTCAGCATGGCTTGTAGAAAGGAATAAAAAATAAAATAAAAATAAAAATAAAAATAAAAATAAAAAATAAAAATAAAAATAAAAAATAAAAATAAAAATAAAAAATAAAAAATAAAAATAAAAATAAAAATAAAAATCTGCCACATACACACACTCTGTGAGAAAAGTTACCCCACGATCTTCCCCTTTTAGTGCAGCTGCCCTGCCCATGGAAGCAGGACACAGGAGAAATAAAGAAAAGAGGGAAAAGCTCCTGTCATCTGCATGGAATTGCAAGTTTGGAATATTCCACCTCCTGCTGGTAACATGCACCTGGACTCCAGTCAGTCACTGCCAGGCAGAGAGAAATATGAGTTTCACACCTGATCACTCTGAACAGAGCTCCAACAGCTCCCATTTATCAGGATCAATCCATCAAATCCTACTGGAACATCAATTAGTCATGGGAGACCATAATTTCACAGCAGCAAGTTCAGATGACTGAAATAGCATTTTTATTTGAGAATGACTGACCTTCAGGACTATACTCTATCACAACTGGGAGGACAAATGAACATCCACAAGCAAAATCAAAATTACAGGTTGGAAGATCTCCTCTTTGCTGTATCAGCAATTTAACCCCTTGCTGAAGGGGCACAAAGACCATCCCTTCTTCTTAGTCTGCCAAAGAGCTGTGGGGATTAAGTTGACTTTGATTTATTTGCAACCTTTTCAGGCAGAGAGGTAAAAGATCCTGCAGCCCAGGGAGCTGTCAATATG